ATATACACCTGTAGTTTATCAGCATAAAGATGGTATTTGCAGTTTTTAGGATAGATTGTTATATCGGAACTAAAATAGATCCCTGAGGAACACCTTTATTAAGAGGAAGAAGTTGGGAAATATAGCTTTCGCCATCATTCCTGTTAATTATAACTTGTCGTAGACGATTATTGAAATAACTCTTAAACCACATCAGAGATCCGTTATCAGAGCCGTGCCTTTGCCAGAATTCGAAAACGATTGCGCGTCATCTACGACATTAATAAGGACTGTAGCTGTCCCATGACTCCTCCTAAACCCTGATTGTAACTTGGTTAGTATTTTATTTTTTTCACAAAAGTGTAATACTTGAAAGTGTACAACTTTTTTCGAATATTTTTGATAAATATAATAAAATACTAATAGGCCTTAGGGCGCTTAAATCAACTGCGTTGACTATTTTGGTACGGGACTAATTAGTGTAATTTTCCACTGATAAGGAAAAATTGATTCTGTGATAGACCTATTAATTGTTGTAGTGATAACCTTTAAATAAATATGGGGCGAGTCTTCTTAACAATTTCCCTATCGACGAAAAAGACAATAGTTGAATAATTGAAATGTTCATATATAACTCATGGGACAGTCAAATGCTTAAAGTAGTATTTTAAAAGTATGAAGGAAAATAATAAAGAATCATAAAATATATTATAAGTATTGCACATTTTTTACGAGGAGCGTATGATAGGTACAGCATGAATAGGTTGGTTTGATCAGGGAAGAAGTCCGCTTGCACAGAATACCAGCATTCAAATTGCAGTATAACACTGTTATTTATGGATTACAGCATTCACTTACCATCAGATGGGATGTATGCTCGATTGTCTTTTTAATTTAATTTAATTCTTAATTTTATTTTTATACTTAAATTAAAAAAAATATAAAAATCTATTACTGAAGTGCGTATAAATATAATATTAAACAGATTAACATACCAGATTTTGAACGACATACTTCGGAAGGCTTAATTTCACATTAATTTGGATGCACTAGAAAAAAAATTGTTAAATATTGTGGTTCTACCACGTTACAATAATTAATATATTGTGGATATTGATTTTAACAATGAGACCAAAAAATGCTATTATATTTTGGAAGTATGTGAAAATTTAACTTATCTTTGCTAAAAATTCTGACGCTCGTAAAATATGCTCGTGGCAGTAAAATTCAGAAGCGGTCGTAAAAAATATACAAAGTTGACAGAAAATTTACAAGATCCACAAGAGTTAGGTAGTTATATCATGAATTAATATTAGAAAAAGCATATCTATTTTCAGGATATTAAGTTCTTCTAATTCACCGTGTAGTGGCAGCGAGAATTCACTACACCACATCATCTCGTGGGTGTCGGAAGAGGCGGCAGAAGTAAATGGAATAGGAGATTGGCAGCACATATTTTTTACGTGGTAGAGCCAAGCTGCAGCTATATTGTGGTTGTAGCACGAATGGCTCGGCTCGACCGGGGAAGGACCACGCTCTCACAGAATACCAGCATAAATAGCAGCTTAATGCGGATCTGTTTCGTATGGTGAGTGTAAAGTAACCCTTTTTTTTGGAAACGAGGCATTCCATCTTTGTCCTCGGGGGTGACAACGCATCTGCATTTTGATCCTTAATCGAGGATAAATGTAGATGTCTATCCACTTACCATCAGGTGGACTGTGTGCTCGTTTGTACCCTTATTAGGCTATAGTGAATGATTGAAGGTCGTCTATTAAGTTCTAGGGAAGCGCAGTGGATACTTTCCTGTTATATAAACCTCTTATAAATGTGAATAGCCTCTAATAAAGTGAATGTTTAAGCTTGTTTTAACTTAAAAGAACTGTATGTTTTGGAAATTATCGGTATATCTATATCTTTTTTAACGTTACCCCCACTGGGAGTTACACCTGTATTGTGGAGGCGGTCTACATACATAAATTGCGCGTGGACAAATATCAAGGCCCAAAGCAATTATATGTAGATCATACAAGTACTTGTCCATGCGGGCGAACCCGCGGCCCTCAACACTGTAATTCAATGCCACTGCGCCGTAGAGCCGTCTACATTTATACATTATTTTAAAACTACGAATTTATTTTAAGAATAAAGATTTTTTTTAATATACAAAAAATTTGGAACAAATATAATTCCAAAAAACACACTAGAATATATTTCCCACAGGAAAAACGAAAATGAGCCACAACATCCTCTCTTTGAAACGGCACATAGAGGAACCAATCCAAAAGCAATTTATGTAAGGATATGTAGTCTGCGTGTGCATTCCAATTACAAAGCTCCAAATTGTGATACACTTTCAAATTGCATTCTATATACGAATATTTTATAGCAAATAATTTGGAAAATCCAAAAGCGCACGCCTCATGAGCGTTTAAAAAAATTACCTTAATAAATCGATTACACAAAGTATAAAATCGATATAGGTGCTGTATGGTACATTTGTCATTTGTATATCAAGGGCTAAAGAAAAAAATGAAAGCGCCTTTAAATTTTTAATAGCAATCAAATTTATAAAACTTGAAAATAATTGGAAATAGGGAACCAGTTGACGAAAGCTAATAAAAAAATCCGGGCTCCATACGTCCATTTTTTCGGGAGTTATCGTGATCACATACAAAATCAACATCCGGACGTCCACGTAATTTTTTTTTCATACCGTTTTTTATCAAAGTAGCAATATAAAATGGTCCACTTAAAAACATGTCCAGCAATATAGTTGGACATGTTTTTAAGTACTGTTAATTTAATTTAATGCGTCACTGTTAGTTTTTGATCGCCAACTTAGATCCACCTTATTGATTTTTTTAATCGCCAACAGTTGTCTCTTGTCGTTCCTTACAACATTTGTTCGAGTATCACCAAACTAACCCTAACCTTTGTAGAGTTATAACTCTTTAAAATTAGTATGGCGGCCATCTTGTTTTCCGCAATTTTGAATTTATTTCACCACCGCTAGTATTTGTCTAGGGTGTTGGCCGATGTGGGTTAATACGTAACCCCGCTAAGTCTTACCGTTTAGTCGGGTAGAAGTACACCATCTTGTCGAAGAGCTAAACCCGAACGTCATTTTATTCGTATTCTTCTCAGCGAACTTTTTCATTTGATATCCATATCATGGGCGTGTATAAAAAAACCACATAGTCCGCGTTCTTCGGGTGTCCACCACATCGGATTTAGAGTGACGTCATTTTATTTTCGTATTCTTCTCAGCACAGCCTTTAATTTGATACTCATATCATAGTGCATAGAAAATAACTAGGCCGCCATCTTGAATCGTCCGCCATATTGGATTTAGTATGACGTCACTTAGCTAAGCAGGCATTGTCATCCAAACTAAACATGTATACAAAATTTCAGATCAGAAAGCTGCTTTAAAATTCAGTTGCTACATTGCAAGTTAAATAAAAGCTTTTAAAAAGCTCACGATATGGTTTGGTGGTTTTTTGACTTATACAAAGAAAAAATTCTACGTAGATGAAGTAAAGTAATGTGTAAATAAGAAAATGTTAGAAAAAGAAGTGTATATTTATCGTACATACGACACTAGAAAAATGGGTGTTTAAGATAAGACCAAACAATTGAGAGCGACTTAAGATTTCGTATTCCAATGGAATGGAAGTCTATTAATCTTTTGCAAGTCCGCCATCTATCTGTCCCAAAACACCAATATAATATGTTTAGAAACGTATATCAAATGAACAGAGGATCATTGTATTAAATGGTAAGCATATTTTGTTATCTTAATTTCTGTTTATTGAATAAGGGTGACAAACGAGCACACAGTTCACCTGATGTTAAGTGAATGCTGTAGCCCAAATCCATCTACATCTACCCTCGATTAAGAATCAAAATGCAGATGTGCTGTCAGCCCAGAGTGCTAAGATGGAACGCCTCGTTTCCAGTAAAAAGGGTCTCCGGTTCTCTACACTCACCATACGAAACACAGCAGAATTAAGTTGCTATTCTACGCTGGTATTCTGTGAGTACGTGGTCCTTTCCTTTAAAATAAAATTAAAGGAACTCCATCCGCGGCTGTTCGTTGCTGCTTATGATAAGAAGGCTAAGAAGGCATTCCACGGGGAAACGCAGCCAGCGTTCTTGACACGATACCGCGGGGAGTAGGACTGTATGATAATTAAGTTACTAGTTTTAGTTTTTTTTATTATAGTTTTTAATATTGTATATTATGTCATAAAATATGAGATAGGGTGACAAACGAGCACACAGTCCACCTGATGGTAAGTGGTTGCTGTGACCCATAGAAATCTACATCTATCCTCAACAAAGAATCAAAATGCAGATGCGTCGTCACCCGTGAGGACAAGGATGGAATGCCTCTTTTTCAGCAAAATGGGTATCCGGTTCTCTACACTCACCATACGAAACAGCAGTGTCAAGCTGCCATTTTACGCTGGTATTCTGTGTGAGCGTGGTCCTTCCCCGGTCGAGCCTACCCATTCGTGCTACAACTATCTTCAAATATAGCTGCAGTACGGGGTAGAACCTACCACGTAAATCTTTGGTAAACTGAATCTACAAACATATTAAAATGTTTTTCATTCACTTGCTCGTTGGTCTAGTGATCGTAAGCATGGCTGCTGATCACATAGTTCCAGGTCAACCCTAATCAATTATTTGGTTTTTCTGTCAAAATAATCTCAGTTCGTAATTTTTTTTTGTTCCTGCACCCGATCTCTCTCCGGACATGTCGGACTACCGTCCCATCTGACTATGAGGGGACACCTGCGCAATCACACCCATGCACTATGATGTTATTCTGCGCATGTGGCTGACGTTTTTTTCTCACTCTCCCACACAATATAGACCGCGTATTAGCACGCTACAACTGTAACTAATATATTTTAAAGATATTTTCAAACGATTTTCGTCAACGTATCGCTTGTATAAAAACAAAGAACCGATAAACGGAGCGACGATAACCTTTTTATCAATTAACCGCAATGTTGAAACTTTGCTCCCTTATCTTTTTGATATCCGTGATTGTGCTCCGAACTCAATCATGTAAGTAGTGCTTGTATTTGTTTCTGTAAATATCTATTCATAATAAAAATTTCATACCTTTTATATAGTTTTGAAAAATGAATCCATCCATATACGCACAGCGTCGTTCTCTATATAGATAGCAGAATCGCATTTCAAAATTACCAGATCTAAGAAATGGCTTCATCTATCACGTCATTTTGCCCGAGGTTGTAATAAAAACAACTGATTTGACAATGATAATTTACTGAAACGAACCTTTCCGTAAATTATCACTGCCATAAATTATCATGATATAACAGTACTACGAATGAGGATATATAATTGTATGAATACTTTTAATGAGGCTTACAATAACTACCAACTAAAAAACTAAGCGAAAGTAGTAAGTAAGAAAGACCTACCGTGCCTATCCCGCACAGGACATAATAAAGTTATAGAAGTAATTTATAAAATGTTTCCAACAACTACCGGCATAGGTGTGACATGGACATTAAACATGATCTTTGTTTTGTCCATGTTCATCCTAAGACCTATTCGTTGGGAGACACTATTGAGGTCATTGAGCATAGTGCTTAGGTCCTCCAGCGATTCTGCCATAAGGACTATATCGTCGGCAAATCGAAAGTGAGTGATGTACTCGCCATTGATGTTAATACCGTATCCTTTCCAGTCCAGAAGCTTGAAAACTTCTTCCAATGCAGCGGTGAAGAGTTTCGGGGATATAACATCACCCTGTCTTACATCTCCCTGTCTTACTTCAGCACTTGGATATACCGACACTCAATTTGGCACCCCTGAAGGGACTGTAGCACCGCCCAAATTTCGACGGAATCAAAGGCTTTGTCATAGTCCACATACGCCAGGCATAGTGGCAAATTGTACTCCTCAGATTTCTGTACAATATGCCGAAGGGTATGTATGTGGTCTATAGAAATCTACATCTATGTAGATTCTATAGACCACATACTATGGTATTCTATGGGTATGTATGTGCTAAAGCCCTTACGGAAACCGGCTTGTTCGGGAGGCTGAAAGTCGTCAAGTCTGCGTGCGAGACGATTCGTAATGACTCTCGAAAACAGCACGTAGACGTGGCTCAGAAGGGAAATCGGTCTGTAGTTCTTCAAGAGAGCGTTGTCACCTTTCTTGAAGAACAAGACCACCGCACTTCTGCTCCACGCCTCCGATGTAATGCCACCACGAAGGACGGAATGAAAGAGCTTCTGAAGGACTTCAAGAAGCTCCGCTGTAATTCCATCCTCGCTCGGGGCCCTGCCGTTTTTAAGGTGCTGTAAAGCCATTCTAATCTGGCTCAAACTGACGTCCGGGATATCTTCGGAATAGTGTCGGATAAGACTCGCTCTTGGATCGTTACTCACACTTGCGTGTGGCTCCAACGATGACGTGTACAGCTGCCCATAGAACCTCTCAATCTCACTAAAAATCCTAGGTGCCCCGGAAACGATGCTGCCACACTCGGTCTTCAGCTTTGACAGTTGGCTCTTTCTGGCAGACAGGTATCTGGCAAAGACTTTGGAGCCTTGGTTCCGCTCGATCGCTTCTTCAATACAAGTTGTATTGAAGTTGCGTAAGTCCCGCCGCATGCATTTGGAGATCTGTCTGTTCAGTTGCCTGTATGCTGTCAAATCTGTTGAAGAATATAGCTTCATCTCCTGTCTAACAGCCATGAGATTGAGAGTGTGATCGGAGAGTTTTTGTGTTCTTCTGCGGCGGGTCTTGCAGAAATTAGCTCCGACCGCATGGACAGTTTCCACGAGCTTGTCATTCATATCGTCCACTTCATTTCAGTCTTCTAGGCACTGAAAACGGTTTTGTAACTCGAGCTGAAAGGTTTCGGGACTTTGGAACAGAGCACGAGAGGGACCGATCGTTGACTTCATTAGACGAGATCTCTCCAACTGAACGTTTAGGTTCAGTGTGCCTCTAACCATTCGGTGATCGCTACCAGTTTTCCCCCTAGCGATCACGGAGACATCACTGAACAGTTGTCGTCTGGTCTTCATAATGAAGTCAATCTCATTTTTTGTGGAATAGTCGGGCCTCGACCAGGTCTACTTCCTGTGGGGCCGCTTCTGGAAGAAAGAGTTCATCATAAAGAGTCCCTCTTTCTCCATGAAGTCGGCCAGCTGCTGGCCCCTTGGGTTCCGTTGCCCTATTCCAAATTTCCCTACTTTCAGCTCACCGTTCTCTCTTGTGCCTAGTTTTGCATTGAAGTCTCCCATTAACACCGTATATTTGGTTTTGGAGGAATGCATGGCTCTAGAGATATCTTCATACATTTCCTCCACCTCCTCATCGGGGTGTGCCGAGGTTGGCGCGTAAATCTGTATGACCTTCAGCGAATACCGTTTGGTGATTCTGAGTATAAGCTACGCAACCCTCGTCGACACACTCTCAACATTTACAACGTTGTTAACGAGAGACTTGTGGACGATAAATCCAACACCTCCTTGGGACAGATGGTCGCCGTCCCGGTGATAGAGCAAGTTGCCGGATTTGAAAATTACCGTGTCCTCCCCCTCTCTTCGGACTTCGGATAATCCTATAATATGCCAGCGTAACTTGTCTATCTCTTCTTCCAGCTCCACGATCTTCTCGTCAGTCCTCAGGGTACGTGCGTTATATGTTGCCAGGTCGAGTCGTCTTATGTGGCAACCGAACCTCCACCGGAGATTCTTAGCACGCCCTGCCCCGCCGTTACTATGGTTGCCACCGTAGCCAGGCATAGCAGGGCTGCCGGGGACTGGGGGGCTTTTAACTATTTGCCATAGTTGCCACGCTTGGCGAGCGGGTTGGCAACCGCAGTTTTTTTATTGTAAGTTTGTTGTTATCAGGAAGATGCTGCTGCCGATCTCCTGCCTGTTTCCCTTTGTCGCCTTTTACGACACCCACGGGAAGATATGGGGTAGTGGATATTCTTAACCGCCACTACACGGCAAAATTAAATCTATATCAGTGCCAAAATACAGATTTGTAGTCCATCCGCAGTTTTACTAAGAGACCTAGGGACTGACGAACAGATGGATGAACGGACGTACAAGGCGAGACTGTAAGGGTTCCTTGTTGTGTATCCACCTACTATCAGTTTGTGCTTACGACTCACGCTGCTATCTGTAATGTCCAGGGACTGAGGACAGAGACTAACCATCTGTGCAGGATAAAATATAGTGAATGAGTGTGTGCGCACTTAACTTAGGTGCACTCTCTATTCCCTCACTTTCATCTGACCACTGACCAAAAAGAGATCAAGCGTACACTTACGGCGCTACACTTTCCGAGGCACAGGGTTTCAACCGGACTCCGGAGGCTCCGGATTACTAATGAGCATTTCCTGACAGGAAACCCCAATAACTGAATTTGACCACATCAGCAAGTCGCGCTTAATACCAATAGACTAACGCCGCTGTATATATATATATGTATATATATATATACATATATAAAGATGTTACGCTCGAGTGCGCAGTAAATCAGTAAATAAAACCGCCACTGATCGACATGGCAATGACGATTTTAGTCACACAAATTTAAAAAGTTGATAAGGCAAGAATAATACTGGCATATAATTTTTTTCACAGTGGACTCCGAAAAATGTAAAATTCTACCGCCTGAAAGACACTGTATTATAGAATCCGCTGCAAAAGACAGATGGCCTCATACTGAGCGGTACGTAGACACATATTATCGAAGTAGAAAAATAAAGGTAAGATAAATAACAATATGACTATTTTCCATGTCATTTCAAGCCCTGTCGATAACAGCTGTCAGCGAAAGAAGTTATGAAAGTAAAAAGAATTTACGTTTATTTACTCGTATTATATTAAAATGAACAAAAAGTCCTGATGATGGTAAGTGACTGCAGCTCATGGACATCTGCAACTTTACAGAGGTATAGAATATGAGGATAAAACGCTTGAGGACTAAAGTGGAATGCTTCACAGCCTATAGACATACTGGTTTACCATACCGGAACCGGAGAACTAAAAGAACAGTATAACTAGTATAGTGGGGGACTGCAGTTTTGCAGCAGAGTGCAACCTAACCTAGGGTGTACCAGACTCCCCCCCTCCCCGCACGAGTTTCCGCCTTTTCGTGGAGGGCTTAGTAGCCGTGGCTTGGTCACCCACGGTGAACTAAAAGGAATCCACATGGTTGGCTTTAGGTGGCCACTCCATGTGAACTTGGCGAGCTTACTTCTGATATTTGTAGGCTGCAGCGAGAAGGGAGTTCTCTCCCCTACCACTGCAACCGCAGTGGAGTCGCGGAGGAAGAGGAGTGTTGATATGACGATGTGCCACTCGCCCTATCCTACGCGGCACTGGCGTAGCGCCACCGTTTATACGGTGGTGGCGTGGTCGCGGTGGAAAAGGGGTGTCCTCCAAATCCAAAAATAATCCTCCGCGGCTAAATTTCGAAAGATTTTTAATCCAATTTCAAACAGTTTTGGATTATGATTTCATAATGATTTCTTATAATTACGCGAAGACATAAATGAAACTAATTTTTACGGATACTATCGCGTTTAATTTAACTTTTTAAATTTCCGACGTTTCGTTGTGAACATGTTCAAGATCGTCCCCGCCATTACATTAGATTTGATAGACCACAAATCCTTGCAAAAAAAATACAGATTCCTACCAAGGCTGATTCGCGAGGCTATTGAAATTAAAAAAAAAAACATCCTATTTTCAGTAGAGAAGATGGATGGGTGCTGCCATCTGCTTGGGATCCTATAATTAATAAAATTAAATCCAAACCCAAGCATATCGCTGCTAGACTTCAAGATACTGTAAGCTCATTCTGCGTAGATCGGACAAAAAATTAATACTCAAAAATTGAAGGTAGCCTAGCCCGGTCACTATGACATCGGGACGTCAAACACCTCAGTCCCTCCCGTATATATATATATATATATATATATATATATATATATATATATATATATATATATATATATATATATATATATATATATAGTTATGTAGCAAATAGTAGTTATGTAGTATATATCTCAACAAACAAATATAATTATGAGACAAATATGAAAACAAATATGTTAATATCTTAGAATATACACAAACAAGTTAAAGAGCAATGGCAGAAAAATAGTTGACAAAAATTATAGCGTCTAGAAATAAGTTATATATAAAAGGAGTTTTACTATGATTTTTCAAATAAAAATGTATTTTAATTAAAGCCACAGAAAAAAATAAACATTTTTGGGAATATCAAATTACTTAAATCATTTTACTCTATTCAAATGTTACCATTTAGTATATTTATACTATTTTCGTATACACTTTGTAAGACTACCAACACAACACACAAAATATTTTTATATTAAGTTATTATTAGTAATAACTGTACTATCAGTAATAATAAAAATAAAAGTGATATGGCTGAGAATAAGTCACTTACAAAGAATTTCGTACAATAATACATTATCTCAATCATAGTACTATGTAACAATTCCATTTAATGTTATGCCAACACTAGCTAAAATAAAATGTCACTGTTTTTTTTACTGGCTTTACGGCTCTGGGTTCTAGCCCTTCTGAGAATGTCACTATGATACAAATGATCTGTAGCCATGCCAGAAATATACATTTATAGTATGCAAATATATAATAGAGATACAATAATCTAAAAACTCTCAATTATGTATTATGTATTTAGCTAACATCAAACATCCACAGGAAGCATGACTTCTTCCAAGTGACATAGGACATAACCTAAAAAGTTCAAATGTAAATATCTTTTTTTTGACGCCTTCTCAGTACAAAATTCTTTGACAGATTTATTAAGGGACTGAGGCTTAACATTTTAAGATATTTTTGGTATATAGACGCTACCATTTCTTCTCAACTAATTTTATGTATGAAAGTCTGCCATTGTTCTTTGATCTTAATCACAATTCACATTAGTAAAGAAACCAATCACGTTTTCATAACTTACGCGATCACTAACTAACGATTATAATAATGAAGATCAGTTTCAATTTTTTTGAGTGTTAAAGTCTAAATCTTTTTTTATAGAATAAGGGTGACAAACGAGCACGCAGTCCACCTGATGGTAAGCGGATGCTGTGGCCCTAGACATATACATATATCCTCAGTTAAGAATCAAAACGCAGATACATATATTACTCTTGAGAACTAAGATGGAATGCCTCATTTCCAAAAAGTGTCTCTTCACACTCACCATACGAAACACAATAGCGTTGAACTGCTATTTTACGCTGGTATTCTGTGAGAGCGTGCTCTTTTCCTGGTCGAGACCATTTGTGCTCCAACTATAATATAGCTACAAAATTAAACTCTATAAAATTAGTATTAAGGTTAGGCCATAAACCCTTTTATCATTGGGGCTTCAAATGGGACCTGACGCTCCATCGTCATAAGCATCCCTTTAAATCCTCCCCATTTCAAGGACGGCTACTAATAATTGATCTAACGCCAGAAGACCAAGCATTGAGAATTATTTTTTACTCTTTCAGATACGCATTCGATTGGTATCCGCAGAAGTGCATTTTAATCAGGTGGTCCGAACACTGTGGCCCTGCTCCGACCGGTGTCAACAACTTCGACAGCGAACGTGCGTGCCAGGATGAATGCAGCGGGTGGGCATAAATCTTGATGCAAAATCAGAATACTATGCTATCAATGTGAAAAAACTTATTTATTATAATTGATGCGGAAACGAAACTTTTTACTGTGTTTTTTTTACAAACATATAGCTATTAATCGAGTGGTAGCCGTGGTTGCTCAGGAGCTAGGGAACTAAGGCCCGACTATAAATTTCACAGAAGAATGGTAAGTGACTACCGCCGTTTACGTACACCGATTTTTTTAAAAAAACAACATGAGCGGCATGCCATCACCATCAAGTAAGCCGCATGCTCGTTTGCCCACTCTTATATAAAAAAGAACGCGGGCAACCTGGGTTCGATACGGCAATAGAGCGGCGCTGATTTACCACGCTCTCAGCGATGCTGGAAAACATAGTTAAGAAACCTGCATATCTATGTAATAAAATAAAAAAATTATTCGAGCTCATGACTGTGAAGCCCACCAACGCCCTGCATTTCGGAATAATCGCTTTGCAGAGCTAAACAAAGGCATGTGTCCGACAATAGAATTTATAGAGGTTGTAACTTTACTGCTTTACTTTCCCGATGGTTACTGTAGCAGTAAGATAATTAGTAAAATACAGGCATTACTTGGCGGAAATCCATTTATATAAAAGACTAGCTAATACCCGCGACTTCGTCCGGGTTGCTTGATATATTTACAAAGTTTTCGTATGTGCGAAGGAATCAAAAATTCGCAAGCAAAAATATACTTTGCTTATAAAATTTATTTGTAAACAATGTTATTCGGTGCTCCGTTTGTAGCTAAAATATATAATGTAAGGAACTATCCCACTTCTGATGTAAGAAACTATTGAACTTCTAAAAATTAAAGAAATTTTCTCAAAATTATTTAAATAAAAGAACTCGCTCAGAAATAACACCACTCGGTAACAAACCCTGCTTATTATCAGGATCCAATTACATGATAACACCAAAGTATGCAAACCAACAGCATCACTACCCAGCTCAATGTAACACAGGGCAGCCTCTCATCAACACGATCTTCCTTGTCTACACTAGTAGAATACCAACGGACATAGTAATGACAATTAGACACATAGAAATACCAACTGATGGCTCATAGTCGCCTGCGCGATACTTTATACTGCTAGAACGGGTGAGAGATCACAGTTCTACCTTCATTTGTTCGTATTTCCTTTTTTTACCCTCATTTCCAACAATAAATTATCTGGGTTAGTAACGCGAGAGCAAGCGTGGTAGAGCCATGCTGCAGCTATATTAATAGTATAGTTGTAGCACGAATGGGTCGGCTCGACCGGGGTAGGACCACGCTCTCACAGAATACCAGCGTAAAATAACAGCTTAACACTGACTAACAACTTTCGTATGGTGAGTGAAGAGAACCGGAGACCCTTTTTACTGGAAACGAGGCATTCCATCTTAGTCCTCACGGCTGACAACGTATCTGCATTTTGATTCGCAAACGTGGATAGATGTAGATGTTTATGGGCCACAGCAACCACTTACCATCAGGTGGACTGTGTGCTTGTTTGTCAACCTTATACTATAAAAAAGTGACATACAGTTAACCGTGTGGAAAAACCCCGTATAAAAATTGCTGTTTCTTAAAACTTTAATAACTTTATATGAAATGAGGATATTGCAATAATTTTTTTTTTAGGTAAGGGCCAAGTGTCTAAGAAATAAAACTTAGAAAACCTAATTGAAATCTATCCAGTAGTTTTCCGTGATGTGCGCACAACTGCAAGCCCCTATTATTTTAGTTATATAAAGATGTTAAAAATTAATTACGTAAGATCCGCGTAATATGTCCGCATAGATCCGCGTGATATGAGATCCTCTTCAAACGAGGTTAAAGTTATGATTTTTTTGTTTATGGATTTTAGCTAATAAATTTTTAACGTCCAAAATACCAGAAAAAGATTTTTCTATACTGGTCGATTGTATTCTTCATTATTTACCAAGGTTTCGTCACTAGCCCATATAATTTAAAATTAAAAATTTTGTTCAGCCGACTTCAATATAAGTTATTAAGAATAACTCAAAAACCATCGATCTGACCTTGATCAAATACATATGAGACGACACGAGAAGTACCAGCTTTCAAATAAAAAAAAGAATCATCGAAATCGGTTAACCCAGTAAAAAGTTATGAGATAACACACGTAAAAAAAACATACAGTCGAATTGAGTACAGTCTCCTTTTTGGAAGTCGGCAGAAAAGTCCACAACTGAATGCGAATCGTTATGGCGAGTAGCCTTAATTGCAACTCATTAGCAAGCAGACTGATGATCGCAATACCCGATTTCTCACACCTTTGACACTACCCCACATCGCTGATCTGTATTTTACATTTCGAGTAAATGAGATAGACATTGATTTATCAGGCATATCGATATATCCCATAGCCGCCTCTTGCGACCCTCACGAAACGGACGAAATGCGGTAATGGTTTCTCCTCGCCACCACAACACAAAACTGCCAGGTACTATAAATACATAATGACATAACAGACATAATTCATATATACAGATGGCAATGGACTGGTCATATAGCTCGAAGAACCGACAAATCATGGAAAAAGGTTATCAAGTGGCAACTGAAGCAAGCTTAGTTTTAGCTATTATTTATTCAGTGGTTTTGGGCGATTAAATAGAGGCTGGACGGAGGATGCAGGTGGCTTAGGACCGTCATTTGAAGCAATCTGGTTTGTGATCTGTTGTAATGATAACGATAAGTAAATAGTACAGTATAATTTTAGTCACCTCCAAAAACTAGGTGGTTTTCAAATGGATTGTATATATATTTTTTATGTATGATAAGATATCATCGAAAATTATAAACCGATGTTAGCGATTATTTTTTATTCAATAACTCTTGCTTCATGAAGTGGTCAAAATAATTTGGGGAACAATTCCACTCTCAAGGGTGGAAAATATGGAATGAAGTTTTTAGTGTTTTTCATTTATTTAGATGACATTTTAGTTAAATTAAATAAAATAAATACAATCAGGCGTTACTTTGCGGAATTCATTTATATTAAAGATCTTAAAAATTTATTTACTAAGCTCCGCGCAAGAGCACTTCCCGCCCTTCCTCAATTGCGTGCACTATCCCCGTCACCACTAATCCCAGCACCACCACTCCCAACACCACTACACTAGGAAAGACACACCACCGTCGATAACACGCGAAACACGCGTCGTATTATAATAGATAATAATGTACATTAATAATTTTATTTAATAAAGTATAATAAATTTCTTTTATAAATTGGATTCTACGTTCAATTACTGATTACACGTTTTGTATCGATGTCAGAATTCCCAATATTCACGTGTAACAGCCACAGGGCAAAAAGCCAGGGCAAGCCGAACGTAATCATTTCAAGTAAATAATAATATAAATTTTAATTCCCAAACCCCAGGCAATCGGCCATTTTTCGTAGATTTACGCATCATTCTGATTGAAAAGTATAAATCGCATTATGATGTTCGGCAGTTTATACCAACAATATGGCAATATGCTATTTATGTCACATAGCATAATTGTTGTACCTACATACAATTAAGGCAAATTAAAAATGTTTTGGGGGAGGGTTTTTTTAAGTTACCATTACCGTTACAACCTAGTTCACCGCTGAACATAGGCCTCTCCCATAAATTGCCTCATAGGGGGGATATTTGACATAGTTGCCACGCTTGGCAAGCGGGTTGATGTCTCACCAGATGTCGGTAGTTGAAACTGAGGTGAAGTTATTTGTTACTCTATGTGAAAAGTTGCATTTTGAATAAAAGTTTTCGGTTTTTTATTAGCTTGGTATGTACCTATGTAGCGGAATTTTTAAATGAGATTTTCATTCCCTTCGAAACTTCGGATTGATTTGAATCTTCGCACAGTTATGAAGGACCGATGGCAATTCAATAATTTAAATAGTTTGTCCCATTATCCTTGCCAGGATTCTATGGATTTGCGAATAATTCATAAAACAACTACGATTTCTGTCGGTTCAATTTATTGTAAGCCACGTAAAAGAAATTTGTTCCAAAAAACATGCTTCTTTGGAAAACCGCACTAAAAATTAGAAAATAATTTTCAACAAGTTTAAATTAAGAAAATAGTGATTAATAAAAAAAAAATATTAAAATAGTACGTGAGTGTAATATGGTCATCCGTTTAATATGGTCACTTTTTTATAACTCAAAAAGTACGGCCTTAGTTGATAGATGACTTCGTCATACGAGCTCTTCTTCTTCTTCTTTCTTTTTTATGGCGGTTTTGATCATTCGCCAATGTCAGCGTGGAAGTGTTTATTGAGTAGAAGCTCAGTAGTTACAAATACTATGCCCATGTACATAAGAAGATTGTGATAGTACAAGTATCTTATTTTCTTTAAACCAACATTTTCTCCCTTTAATCTTGTGATCATAGATTAATAATAGGTCATCGCGGTCTGAGCGCGCGAAGACCTATCAATAATCTAAGCTTGTGATACTAATGTATGTACTGTTGAATTACCTAATACTACAAGCTCTTCATCTATTAAACAATAAAGTGTCAAAAGGGCGCTGCTTTATCAACACCATTTTGACAGTTTACATTATCTATACACATAATAAATATGTAGAAAAGTAGTGTCTGTAATTCTAATATTTTCTGGAAAACACAATTCCAGGGGACTAAATAAAAATCACTGAGGCTAAATTAGTGGTTTTTAGAATTTTTGTCTGTCTGTCTATGTATTCCCGATTCACGCTAAAACTACTGGACAGATTTCCATGAAATTTGTGTGTAGGTAGGTCCTTACCTTGTTGCCCCAGGTCCCTACCTGGGGCAACTTATAGGCTATTTTTTTTTAATTTATTTATTTTGATTTTGATTACGGAACTTCAAAAAGGAGGGTTAAGTATTTTCCTTCCTCAGGATGTTAATCTCTATTTTATATTATAGATTATTGATGTTTTGTTTTTAAATACTTATCTTCACGCACAATCCCTGACGGGGTAGCCAGAGAG